AAGTGCCTGGGTAGGTTTTGGTTAGTTATTGTTCATGGGGTTTTTTTTAAGATACCTTATTTTGAGGTAGCAGTTAGAGGCCAATGATTTGTTGTTCTAGTCTATACATTTAGCATGCAATTTAACCAGAATGTCTGGTTTTGCTATTAATAATCTCTACTTTTATCTGTAGAGAAGGGGCCTTAGGTTGGTGTGTGTTGCAACTTGAAATAAAGATGTTGGCTGGGGCAAAGCAAATCTGGTGACAACTTTGTTGTGCTGTACGTGTCACACTTGCCCCTGGGAGCTGCTCTTGGAACTGAGAAGTATTTTCCTTCATTCCTGAAAGAAGTGGAGAGAACCTGTAGTAATAGGCTTTATTTTTATTTTCATTAAATGTGCATTAGTGTTTCAGTGCAGTGTCTCTGTCCACATATGTGAGACTTGATTCTCATAAAGCGGCAGCTGCTTTGATTGTCCCTGGTGTCAGGAGTGTGAATTGTAGTTCTGCACCGACTGTGAGGCAACTCTGCCACAGGGTTTGCCACTTCCATTAGTTTAATTTGCTTTTACCTGGGGCTGTGTGGAATCTGCCACTGAGCTTCTGCTCTACTGACAGCTGACCCCACTGAGCCAGCTGATAGAAAATATCTTTCCTGAAGTTAGGCTGGAACACAGGCTGATAATGTAATGTAACTAATTAGCTAGTTTTTCATGCAGTGAGTGTTTGAAATATATGGGATTTTTTTTCAAAGAATAAAGTTATTTTTATTGCCTGGCCAGATGCCCCATCTTCTGGCAGGCCATGAAATGTCAGCTTCAACTTGCTCCCAGTGGTGTTCAAAGTGCTGTGGTTCAAGCTTTCCTGGGACAAATGACTCTTTCTCAAGAAGAGGGAAGCTTTCTCAAGAGGTTATTTCTAGAATGATCTTTTTAGGAATGAAAATTGCAAAATCACCCAGGTGACCGCTAAAGACTGAAAGGTGTTTCTTTAACAGGAAGTTTGCATTTCCAACAGGTAAAAGGCAGAAGCTCCAAAACCCTTTGTGTTACTGAGAACTTTATTTTTAGACTAATTGTAACATTTTAAAGAAAATTGCTGGCATAATATAAAATACTGACTTAGTTTTGTCCTTCAGTTAAGTGTAATGAAAGCTTATTTTCACTGAATCTCGCAGAAAACGCCCTAAATAAAAATATTTAGGTTGTTCTTTGTAAATACTGTCAGTGTGTTTTGGTTTAAGTTGCTGTTCTCCAATGTTAACAATTAAATATCAGCATTCTGAGACACAGAAAAGTGAAATGGACCCAAAGGAAAATAGATCATAAAAGGATTTAATGCATTTTAACAACTGAAAGTTAAACTGAATATTAAAAAGTAAGAGCAAACAAGTAGGGGAGTATTTTCACTTTAAAAGATTCAGGCATTGTTCTTGACGTAATTCCTTTACCTGTGGTACAAATATGAATTCCATGTTGATTGCATTGCTTTTTCTCCTTTAGTGACAGAAATATTCAAAGCTAATAGTTGCTTGTATTCCTTCCAGGTGGTTTTCTATGCATTTGCTATAACTGGCATAATGCTATTCAAAGGTGCTGTCGTTCCCTTGGGAAATACCAGGTAAGGTTTTCGACATCACTGCTCACAAAGAATCCTGTCTCTCAAAAGCATCCACAGCTCAGTACCTCTGAGCTGTTTGTGGTGGTTTTTTTTTTTGGTTTTTTTCCGTCTTATTCTTGGAGCTACTCTTAATTTTAATGTTAAATCACAAGATTTATCTCCTGTTCCTTTTTGCTGCGTTGAAGTTGCAGGGAGGCTTATCTGGGTTTGAACCGTTTCCCTTGTTTTCCTGCCTTTTGAGACACTCAGCTTAGTGCAAGGCACTCAGAATAATTTTGGCTTTAAGGTGCAGTTTACAGAAAGCTGTGCTCACATCAGCCTGTGATCCTCCCGCAGTGCTGCCAACACCACATTTGATAATGGCACCTTGCAGTGTGGGACCTACGAGCAGCTGGAATATTGGCCCAACAACTTCGATGACTTCGCTGTGAGTGTGATCATCGATTAAATCCTCCCCTCTCCGCTTGCCTCTCCTCATTTTCTGAGCCTGAAGTAGCCTGAGAAATAACCACTCAGCTTCTGTTCTGCTCACGTTGTTTAGGCAGCAGTGGTGACCCTCTGGGATGTGATGGTGGTGAACAACTGGCAGGTCTTTTTGGATGCCTTTTCAAGATATTCCAGTCCGTAAGTAGCATTAACAATACTTTAAAAATCCCCTATAAATCCAGCTTGTAAGGTAACCAAACAAGAATTATACACGTAGCATGATTCCAGCTGCTAAGAGGGGTGCTGCTTATCTTTTAGAAATTCAAGTGTAAAGGAAACAAATTTAATGCTTCTGTGTTTTCTCTGTGGGTGAGCAATTTTTTTGCAGACTTTCAAATCTTGGGCATGTCTTTCATTTGTATTTAATGACTTCATGGGAGTCTTTGAGTGAACTGGATAGCTTTTGGGTTGAGCTATTCCAGTGCCCCTTGGCTGGTTACCCCAAACCCTTAGTTAAGTTCTACAGCCTGTTGTGTGGGATAAATGTTTTATGTCATCTGGAGGAGACTGGACAAGTCATGACAGAGAAATCCATTGGATCTACAGTGAATGGAAGCTCCCTGCAGTTCAAGACATCTCTGACCTGCAAGCAGCTGGATACTGGGGGAGCACTTAGAGGGTGGCAACATAGATGTTTTGCCATGGTTTTGCAGTCTTTCCTATATTTCTGCTTTTGACCATTCCAAGGATAGTATCCCAGACAGATCTCTTGCTGTGATCCAGCCGAACTGCTTTTCTGTCCCTCCAGAGTTCAGTTAAGTGGGTTAAGTTGGAGGAGTGAGCCTGTTTGGCTGACTTCATGAAGATTTTTCTATTTTTTAATTTTTTTTATTCCATACCTCCTTTGACATTTGAAAAGAAGTAGTATTATATTTCAAGGAAAAATGTGATTTCATGGTGCTTTGCTCACTTTCAGGCTTAGAGTATTTACTGCCTGCTTGGCTTATTGTCTGTTAATCTGATCTGCAGGTGGGCAAAGATCTATTTTGTAGCCTGGTGGTTGATCTCCTCTGTCATCTGGGTTAATCTCTTCGTAGCTTTACTTCTGGAGGTAAGGAAATGTGTTTATTTGGTATTGGATCCCAAAGCTGGGTTCTAATTCGTGCAGGAAGTTAAAAGAACCTGGACAACTTTTTGGGAAAAGTATGTTGGGCTTGTGTGTGTTCTTTCTTTACTTTTTTCCTCGCTGCCTTTCCCCTCAGGAGTTAAGGAAGCTGTTTTTTTTCCTAGACAATTCTATGTTTTATTTGCAATTTTTTCACAGAACTGGTTGCATCTCACTGGGCATGTACATTTTCATGATATCACTCTCTATAAAGAGGAAAAATATTATAAGCACTATAAAATTGCTTGTCTCTTGTACATTCTTATTTTACTTCAGCATTAGTTATTCAAGCTGCAGGCTTTTTGCATTTTAATTTATCAGCAAATGAAGTTAGCTCTTTGTAAATTTACTTGTAATTTATTTGGCTTTCCTGTATTTCTTCCCACTCTGATTTGAATTATTACCATTGTCCAGATCTACACTAGAAAAATGGAACTGATGACCCCTTTTCAAGAGATTTTCTAGAGTTTTACAAAGAAGCTGTGGAAATGCAGGAAATCAATGCCACGAGGAACATGTAGTTCTGCTAATTTCTTGTGTATGTTTTTCCTGCAAATCCAAATTTCTGATGGCAAAGGGAACACTGATCAGAACCATCTCCTCCAGTTTAGTAATTGTAGACTTCTCTCATACGTGATGGGAGAAACTGAGTACCTGTAGAGGGCACTTCACCCCATCTCAAAACATCTAAAAGTTTTTTTATGAGATGATTTTGTTATTGCTGATAGTATTGAGAATTTAAATTTACTATAGTAGGAAGAATGAAAAACTTCCAGTCCAAGACATCTTCTATCTGCTTACTTCTGCAAGACTGTGGTCAAAGTTTTGGCTGTAAGAGCTCAGATGCAGCATTCTGGAGCAGGAGAGCAGGATCTCACTATATTTCTCCTTTTTTTTTTTTTTTTTTTTTTT